TTCATAGTTCATCACGAACCCCATTACCTTAGAGTCCTAGCTCTCGTCCTCATTTGAACATTTGAACCCAGAAAAGCTAATGCAAACATGTGAGCATGCGTACCTCGAATATGAGTAAGAGATATTAAAACATAATACAAGAGAGAGAGAGAGAACAGATGGAGGAGGGGGGAATCAAGAGAAAACAACAGTGCGCTGTACAGGGAGGGCGAGAGAGAGAAGGAGAGAAGAAAAGGAGGGTTAAAACATCTGGAACCAATAAAGACAGAGAGTGTTTTCTAACAATGACACACACCCATCGGTCTAAGCAGCGCTGCTTCAAGTCGAGCATGGGCCATCAGCAGAAAAAGAAAAGAAATCAGTAAACAGCCAAAGGACGTAACTTAGAATGGGAGATGGATCGGTTTGTGAAAGGGAAGAGAAAAGCTATAGATGAAGTCGCACAGACCCAGGCAGGTGCTGGTCATTCAAATGCTAAATGCAGAAAATATGACGAGGCATATCTTGCTCTCGGCTTCACTCATCGTGTCTATACTGGACACCACAGCTGTCGCGTCGCACCGCAACAGCTCTACACTGGACGTGACAAAGCGACCGGTGCAAATCATTTTAACGTTGTGTCAGTACGTCATAAATAGAACAAGGCATCAGTTTAATGTCGGGTTTTGTCGCGCCGTGCCGCATCTAATGTAGACAGCGTCACTGATTATAATGGTTTCTACTGTATTTTGCCATTTGCGTCTGGTGTAGACATGGTGTTTTATGTTGTTGGTGAGGAGGAAAGCCTGTGTGTGTCCTATGCCTTAGCGGACAGCATGAAACCCACAAAAAATAAATAAATAAGTTAATAATAATAAGTTATTCTATCTATGCTACTTTTCAATGTTTCAAGTGATGCAGGTGTTTTTTTCCCTGTAGGTTTTTGCGTCTGGTGTAGACATGGTGTTTTATGTTGTTGGTGAGGAGGAAAGCCTGTGTGTGTCCTATGCCTTAGCGGACAGCATGAAACCCACAAAAAATAAATAAATAAGTTAATAATAATAAGTTATTCTATCTATGCTACTTTTCAATGTTTCAAGTGATGCAGGTGTTTTTTTCCCTGTAGGTTTTTTTAATTAAAAACACATTCATTTTTCATAATGTTTAGTGAAATTATTTGGTAGCCTGAGGGGGGCGCAACCAAAAAAGTTTGAGAACCACTGGTCTAAAGTTAACAGACAGTGTTTAAAAAGTGCAGTGCACATGTTTACATATGTTTATTACAGTGACTGTGAATTACCTAAAGTAGTGTGGGGTAAAGCA